AGCAAGCAGCTTGCTATGGAGGCACCCACTGCTCCATGTGTCCATTCATACACGGAGCCACGGCTCGGCCCCACCCCCTCTCTTCTGGCTCACTGGCTGTGATTGTCAGCCAATGAGAAGAAGGAGTTCCCAGGATAGCTGAGACTCTAGTAAACATCGCTGGATCAAAAGGGGGCTTAGGTGAGTATGGAGGAGGGGGGGATGCTGCAGAGAGAAGGCTTTTTACCTTCCTTCATAGAATGAAGGAAGGTAAAAAAAAAACCTTGAGCCTTTAGAACCACTTTAATATTTCTATGTTCACTGTGCACAACATTATCATTAAGTTTACAGCCCCTGGCACTGTAGCTAATCTCCCTGGACGTGGACGAAAAAAAAAAAAACTGATCAAAGATTGCAACAAAAGATTGTTCAAATGGTGGATAAAGAACCTTGATCAACTTCCAGACAAATTCAAGCTGACCTTCAGGCACAGGGTACAACTCTGTCAGCTAGCACTAAACGTCACTATCTGAATGAAAAGGGATGCTATGGTAGGAGACCCAGGAGGACCTCACTGCTGACACAGAAACATAAAAAGCCAGATTGGAGTTTGCCACAATCCTTTTGGGAGAATGTGCTGTGGACAGGTTAAACAAAGTTACGGCTTTTTGGTAAAGCCCATCATTTTATTGTTTTCAGAAAAAGCAATGAGGCCTTTAAAGGAAAGAATACAGTCCCTACAGTCAAGCATAGTGGAGGTTCTTTGATGTTTTGGGGTTGCTTTGCTGCTTCAGGCACTGAATGTTTTGACCGTGTGCATGGCATTATGAAACCTGAAGACTAACAAAGAATTCTGGGGTGCTATGTAGGGCCCAGTGTCAGAAAGTTGGGTCTCCATCAGAGGTCATGGGTCTTACAGCAGGACAATGATATCCAAAAGCACCAAAAATTGGTTTCAGACAAAGCACTGGAGAGTATGGAACTGGCCAGCAGATGATGAGTCCAGATCTCAATCCCATAGAGCACTGTGGAGAGATCTCAAAACAGCAGTTGGAAAAAACAACCCTTCCGCATCTGGGAGACCTGGAGAAGTTGACAAAAGAACAGTGGTCCACAATTTCAGTAGAGCGGTGTAAGAAACTCATTGATGGTTACAGGAAGCTATTTATTTCAGTCATCCACGTTTCCAAGGGGTGTGCTAACAAACAGATTGTCAGAGTGTCAGATTTGGCTTTTTGTTTCTCAACCATTTTGTGTCATACCAATTAAAAGTAGTGCACTGACAGAAATGCAAGGGTACTAATATTTTTAGCCATGACAGTACATAACTATGCAGTTGTTCCATTAGTTTAAAAAAAAAAAGTGCCGTATTGAAAAAAGTGCTGGAAACTAAACAATTGTCTGATGTAAAAAAAATTATCAGTTTTGAACAGAAAAAAAAACAAACAAAAAAAAAAAAAACATTGTCTGCATAAGCATTCACCCCTTTGCTAGGAAAACCTCTAAACAATATGTGGTCAAACCTATTAACTCAGAAGTCCCACAATTAGGTGGGACATAATATAAGGGTCACCTGTGTGCAATCAAAACCACTTCTGCTGAAGAGGGAATTTCCAGCTGCAAATTTGGATACTGGGTTGATGCCTGCAGGTGCAAAAAACTGTCCCTACATACACTCACTGGCCACTTTATTAGGTACATCTTGCTAGTACTGGATTGCTAGTACTGACCCCCTTTTGGCTTCAGACCTCCCTTAATTCTTCATGACATAGGTTCAACAAGTTCTTGGAAGCATTCTTCAGAGATTTTGGTCCATATTGACATGAATTACTGTTGCCTATCATCTTGAACCAGTCTGCCCATTCTCCTTTGACATAAACAAGACATTTTCTTCCACACAGCTGGAGCTCACTGGATATTTTCTCTTTTTTGGACCATTCTCTGTAAACCGTAGTGATGGTTGTGCATGAAAATCCCAGTAGATCAGCAGTTTTTGAAATACTCAAGCCAGCCCATCCAGCACCAACAACCATGCCATGTTCAAAGTCACTTGAATCCCCTTTCTTCCCTATTATGATGCTTGGTTTGAACTTCAGAAAGTTGTCTTCACCATGTCTACATGTGATTGGCTGATTAGCAATTTGTGTTACCAAGCAATTGAACAGGTGTACCTAACAAAATGGCAGTGAGTGTATGTCCCCTAACTGCGCATTGCAAACAAGTTTGGACAAACTCAAGCTGCCTACACCTGCTCTGAAGAAACTACTGTATAAGTTAGAAATATTTTTTTAATCATATTTAAGCAGTATGTGCCAACGGAAACATTTGAACATCGTGACAGTGTGAGGCTCTGCCACTATGAAAGGAAGAAGTAGTAAACATACAGGGTTTGCACAAATGCAGAGTTTGGGGCTCTGGAATATTGCTTTTGAGTGGAGAAGTGATTTTTTAACTTTTGGTTTTCCCAGATTGAGATCCAGAGCTTGGAGACTTCAAAGAGTTTTTTTGGGCGATAAAATCTCCCACCCAATAACCAGGTCTTGCAGGAAGCTGGCAGGCTGTGAGTGCAGGTGCGCACAGCCTTTCAAGTAAAGTGCCTAGCCATAGCTCAGATCTCCCATTAGGAGACAGGTCTGTTCTACTCAAGAGACAGCACTCCATGCTGGAGATGAGAGCTTCTTTGTCCATAGGTGTCAAGCATCTGCGGTAGTGAGCCTTTGTAGATTGCCAACTTGGGGTTCCCCAGGGTATGGAGACTAAGCCCCAGTCTGCTTCTTCACCAGGGCCCCTGATGGTGGGGAAGGGCTTGCAGCAAGCTGGATCCAGGTCACGACCCCCAGGTACACCCAGCTGAGCATGCGGAGAATGCTCACATGACCAGAGTACTATAGCAGGAGACATCAGGAAATCCAGTAGACAAGCGGAGGACAGGACAGGCGGAAACCAAGCACAGTTGGTGGACAAAGTTGGGGTCGGTACACAGGTAGTCAGACACAGGATACAGGAGTAGCAACAAATGGGAGCTCAGAATACTAAGAAGTGAGCTAGACTGAGAATGTCTTATATAGACAAGTAGCTAGGAGGCGGGCCAGGAAGTGATGGAAGGGAAGGAAATAAAACCCAGAGAATAGCAGGCGATGCCCATAAGTGAAATCAGACAAGCCACACATGTGAAAGCAATTAGGGTAGGAATAGCACTGCAGCAAGGCGGTACGAATACACAAACAAGAAACTGCAGGCTAACTTGTGACAATAGGGAAGGGTTTCTAAACTATGGTTCCTCCAGAGGTTGCTGGGGGTTCTTTGAGCAGTGAACACTTCCCACTGACACCGTTGATCTTTTTAGCTCTCTGTAAGGGGGTAATTCTTCCCATTGACCACAAGTGTAAGGAGCATTCTTCCCACTGACCATCACACTAATGTATCATGAGTTGTAGACAGTAATTTTAAGCAGGGGTTTCCTGAAGCTGGAAAGTTATATCAAGGGTTCCTCTATGTTGAAAAGATTGATAAAGGCTGCAGTAGGGCTTAGTGAGTTGAGATGGCTAAGTGAGTCTGGAGGACAGACAGAATGGAGACAACTAGGCAAGTCCAATGGACCGAGGTAATCTGAAGGTTTCAGAGGAGTGAGAGAGCCCGAGGTGTCAGTAGATCCCCTATCAAAAGGCCAGGATGTGGGCTAGTGCACCAGGGTGATGCAACTGAAACAGCTGAGAAAGCCAGGAGAGCTTGAGAGCCAGGATAGCTGGGTGAGCTGAGAAATGGGCACAGGAACATAGAGATGCTGTGTGAGACGGTCTGATAGATCAATCAAAAAGCCATAGGCCAAGGTTTGGGGCCTAAGCAGCAGTGCTGCTGAAGAGACAGACAGGTGACTTGGTATTATTTTTACTGTGCCTGTTTTTGATTATGAAAACCCCCTATGTACGCAACTGCTTTTCTATTGAATTTTGAGTTTAAAGTGATTCTAAATGTTTAATTTTTTTCTTTAAATAACAAACATGTCTATACTTAGCTGCTCTGTGCAGAGGTTATGTACAGCAGTCCGGATACTCCTTCTCCGGTCCCTTGCCGACGCTCCTGGCCCCTCCCTCCTGTCGGTTGCCACCACAGCCAGCAACATGCTATTGGGGCACCCGAGCATGCGCACTCACCAGCCGCTGCCCCGTGTGTCCATATAGAGTCATAGCTTGGCCCCACCACATCTCTCTTCTCATTGGCTCACTGGCTGTGATTGACAGCAGTGGAAGCCAATGGCTCCCGCTGCTGTCTCGGCCAATGAGGAGAGGGAGTCCCAGGATAGCCATGACGCCAGGGAACATTGCTGGATCGAGAGGAGGCTTAGGTGAGTAATAGGGGTGGCTGGGGGGGGGGATGCTGCACAGAGAAGGTTTTTTCACCTTCATGCATAGAATGCATGTAGGTAAAAACCTGTGATCCTTTACAACCACTTTAACTCAAGCTATCATCCCGCAATTTCAAAACATATGGTGGGGTTCTCAAATTGTACTGCAAAAGTGGAACCACGGTTAAAATAGATGCTTTTTTGCACTTTGTGTACACCTGAATAGGATATCAAATGCACCCACTGCACTTGGGAGATCATGTACAAGCATACATTTTGGAAATGCTGCTACTAGGATTCCATGAACACAGTGGGTACAATGGCCAATCCTGGTCAGGGGCAGCTCTGATGGTCTCCAAATTACATGCATCAAACTGAATTCACCGAATCTAACAGCCACACATTTACAAAATGTATCTTTAGTATGAACGTATGTATGTATTTTACTTTCTAAATGTGCGGTTTTGCTTGGCTTTCAAACGTTACCGCCGTAAAGAAAATCTGTCACACAGAAAACACAACTGCATCACTGTGGAGCAGAATAAGGCAATGCAGACAAAAAAAATTGTGCTGCTATTTCAGAGTACCTTTAGGTGCCATTTAAATTGCTCACAATTGTGCATGTGCAGTACAGAGAAATATTTAACATGCAACATTAGCAACAAAATTTATGAAGTCAAGGTTGGCCAAGTACTACTGCAGTATTTACACATATAAATGGACTTACAACTGATCTTTTACACTCAAAAAAGCTGACTTGCAGAGATTTGCAGTGGCCTTCTTTTAAACATTGCTTGGGGGTTTTTCCTTCCTGCACAAGAAGACAACACAAGTTAATAACATATACCTTCCAACACATGAACACAATTAAAGTCTAACTCCAAGCACAATCATTTTCAGTTTTAAAGATACCACTCCTGCTGTACTTGTACTCCCCATTGAAAGCAGGGCTGAATGTAAACAGACAACAGAACTGGTTTTATGTCCCTGCCCCCAACCGTTCTCAAAACTAGGGCTGAAACAATTAATCAACATAATCAATTCTAATCGATAATAAAAACAGTTGTCAACAATTTAAATTACAGATTAGGTGGTCAGTCAATTAGCTGACCTTCATACAGAATGCATTATTTGTTTACATGTATGAATAGTGTACTGAACTGTATGTGTGTTGCACTATGTACACTAACATGTATGAATGGTGTACTGAGAAGTATGTGTGCTGCACTGTGTATACATGTCAGCATACACAATGCGATACACATAAAGCTCAGTACACCTACAGCTCAGTACACCGTCCATACATGTCACCAAGTGCCTGAGAACTTGTGAATGTATGAGGCGCAATGTTTCATGGGACATGTAGTCCTGGGCAGGAGAAAGAAGTTTTTTAAAGTGATTATAAAAGGCAGAAGGCTTTTTCTGCCTTAATGTATTCTATGTATTATGCAGGCCATAGACGGTTTGTTTATCGGCCGATTTTTCGTCCAAAAAACAAAACATCCGTTCTGTAAACAGATGTTGCCACCAATGATTGCGAAAATCGGAGGTTTTTCACGAATTTTCCAGCATGACTGATAAACAAAATGAGGAGGAACGGCAAAAGTCGGCCGATGCCATTGCCCCACTAAATGTGCGAAAATCGGCCGATTATTCTTTCGGATGAAAAATCGGCTGATAAACAAACAGTCTATGCCCTGCATTAGAGTTTAAAAAAACATAATAAAAAAAAAAAAAAAACCTTCTGTGACCAGCTCCCCAGCCTCCCCTGTAAACTTATCTGATCCCAGTCTCAAACCATCACAATACCTGGGAGAAGAAGCGCTGCTTTCTCTCTCCCTCCTCAGATAAGGATCAAGCCTGCACAGATGCCCGCATAGCAAGCGGCTTGCTATGGGGGAACTCTGAAGGTAGGAGGAGCCAGGAGCGCCAGCAAGCGACCCCAGAAAAGGGGGACCGAGGCTGCATGCAAAACCATTGCATAGAGCAGGAAAGTATGACATGTTTCTAATTTTAAAATAAAAAAAAAATTTACAATCATTTTAAGGGTTCTATGTAGGGCAGATCAGCATATGAACCTGTAACCGAATACTCCGGAGGTAAATTGAAAAAAAAAATTATAATAAAAGTTTACAAGTATTATGCATTATATTTAAAAATACTACTGCTTTCATATAAAAAGATTGATATCATTCCCCCACCCATCCTTCATGTAGCTTCGTATCCGACTCTCAGACAAGTGTACAATCCAAACACGCACGTTACTGCGTTAAAGATGCCTGTGTGTATAAGTGGGTGCTGCAGTGATCATTGGCTGGAACTGAACAGAATCAGCTACAGAGAAGGTCACCAGCACACCTTTATGGTGTGCTGGTGACCTTCTCCCTTGCTGATGCCAAGACAAAACTCGATCTATTTTCAAGACAGTTCAATCTATTTTTAGGATCCTGGTCTCAACAGTTCAATCTATTTTTAGGATCCTTGATCTAATTTTCGATCCTGGTCTCAATGGTTTGATCTATTTTTAGATCCTGGACTTGATGGTTTTGATCTGTTTTTAGATCCTGATCTCAACAGTTTGATCTATTTTTAGATCCTGGTCTCCGTGGTTTGATATTTTTTTAGATCCTAGTCTCAATGGCCTGATCTATTTTTAGATCCAGGATCTATTTTTAGACCCTGGTGTCAACAGTTCAATCCATTCTTAGATCCAGGTCTCACAATTCAATCCATTCTTAGATCCTAGTGTCAACAGTTCAATCTATTTTTAGATCCTGGTCTCAACAGTTCAATCTATTTTTTAGATCCTGGTCTCAACAGTTCAATCTATTTTTAGATCCCGGTCTCAACTGTTCAATCTATTTTAAGACCCTGGTGTCAACAGTTCAACCTATTTTTAGATCCTCGTCTCAACGGTTCTATCTCATTTTAGATCCTGGTCTCAATGATTTGATCTATTTTTAGATCCTGATATTCAATAGTCTGATATATTTTTAGATCCAGGATCTATTTTTAGATCCTGGTGTCAACAGTTCAGTCTATTTTTAGATCCTGGATCTATTTTTAGATCTTGGTCTCAATGGTCTGATCTATTTTTAGATCCTGGTCTCAACGGTTTGATCTATTTTTAGATCCTGGTCTCAATGGTTTGATCTATTTTCAGATCTTGGTTTCAATGCTTTGATCTATTTTTTGATCCAGGATCTATTTTTAGACCCTGGTCTCAACAGTTCAATCCATTCTTAGATCCTGGTCTCAACAGTTCAATCTATTTTTAGATCTTGGTCTCAACAATTTAATCTATTTTTAGATCCTGATCTATTTTTAGATCCAGGGCTCAACATCTCAATCTATTTTTAGATCCAGGTCTCAATGGTTTGATCTGTTTTTAGATCCTGGTCTCATTGGTCTGATCTATTTTTAGATCCTGGATCTACTTTTAGATCCTGGTTCCAACAGTTCAATCTATTTTCAGATCTTGGTCTCAATGGCTTGACCATTTATAGAACCACTGATTATTGTTAGACCCTAGTGTCAACAGTTCAATATATTTTTAGATCCTGGTGTCAAAAGTTCAATCTATTCTTAGATCCAGGTCTCAACAATTTGATCTATTTTTAGATCCTGGTTTTAATGGTCTGATCTATTTTTAGATACTGGTCTCAATGGTCTGATCTATTTTTAGATCCAGGATCTATTTTTAGACCCTGGTGTCAACAGTTCAATTTAATTTTAGATCCTGGTCTCAATGGTTTGATCTATTTTTACATCCTGGTCTCAATGGTTTGATCTATTTTTACATCCTAGTCTCAATGGTTTGATCTATTTCTACATCCTGGTCTCAGTGTTTTGATCTATTTCTAGATCCTGGTCTCAATGGTTTGATCAATTTCTAGATCCCGGTCTCAATGGTTTGATCAATTTTTAGATCCTGGTCTCAATGGTTTGATCGATTTTTTAGATCCTGGTCTCAATGGTTTGATCTATTTTGAGATCCTGGTCTCAATGGTTTGATCTACTTTGAGATCCTGGTCTCAATGGTTTCATCTATTTTTGAGATCCTGGTCTCAATGGTTTGATCTATTTTTAGATCCTGGTCTCAATGGTTTGATCTATTTTTAGATCCTGGTCTCAATGGTTTGATCTATTTTCATATCCTAGTCTCAATGGTTTGATTTATTTTAAGATCCTGGTATCAATAGCTTGATAGATTTTTAGATCTTGTATTTATTTTTAAATCCTGGTCTCAGTGGTTTCATCTATTTTTAGATCCTGGTCTCAATGGTCTGATCTATTTTTAGATCCTGGCCTCAATGGTCTGATCTATTTTTAGATCCTGGCCTCAATGGTCTGATCTATTTTTAGATCCTGGCCTCAATGGTCTGATCTATTTTTAGATCCTGGCCTCAATGGTCTGATCTATTTTTAGATCCTGGCCTCAATGGTCTGATCTATTTTTTAGATCCTGGCCTCAATGGTCTGATCTATTTTTAGATCCTGGCCTCAATGGTCTGATCTATTTTTAGATCCTGGCCTCAATGGTCTGATCTATTTTTAGATCCTGACCTCAATGGTCTGATCTATTTTTAGATCCTGACCTCAATGGTCTGATCTATTTTTAGATCCCGGTCTCAATGGTCTGATCTATTTTTAGATCCAGCATCTATTTTTAGACCCTGGTGTAAACAGTTCAATCCATTCTTAAAACCAAGTCTCAATAGTTAGATTTTTAGATCGTAGATCTATTATTAGATCTTGGTCTAAATAGTTTGATCTATTTTTAGATCTAGGATCTATTTTTTTAGACCCTGGTGTCAACAGTTCAATCTATTTTTAGATCTTGGTGTCCAGTTCAATCTATTTTTAGATCTTGGTCTACACAGTTCAATCTATTTTTTTTAGATTCTGGTCTCAATGGTTTGATCTATTTTTAAATCCTGGTGTCAATGGTCTGATATATTTTTAGATCAAGGATCTAATTTTAGACCCTGGTATCAACAGTTCAGTCTATTTTTAGATCCTGGATCTATTTTTAGATCTTGGTCTCAATCATTCAATCTATTTTTAGATCCTGAATCTACTTTTAGATCCTGGTCTCAACAGTTCAATCTGTTTTTAGATCCTGGTCTCAATGGTTTGATCTATTTTTAGATCCTGGTAGTCAATGGTCTGATATATTTTAGATCCAGGATCTATTTTTAGATCCTGGTCTCAATGGTTTGATCTATTTTCATATCCTAGTCTCAATGGTTTGATTTATTTTTAGATCCTGGTATCAATAGCTTGATAGATTTTTAGATCTTGTATTTATTTTTTAAATCCTGGTCTCAGTGGTTTCATCTATTTTTAGATCCTGGTCTCAATGGTCTGATCTATTTTTAGATCCTGGCCTCAATGGTCTGATCTATTTTTAGATCCTGGCCTCAATGGTCTGATCTATTTTTAGATCCTGGCCTCAATGGTCTGATCTATTTTTAGATCCTGGCCTCAATGGTCTGATCTATTTTTAGATCCTGGCCTCAATGGTCTGATCTATTTTTAGATCCTGGCCTCAATGGTCTGATCTATTTTTAGATCCTGGCCTCAATGGTCTGATCTATTTTTAGATCCTGGCCTCAATGGTCTGATCTATTTTTAGATCCTGACCTCAATGGTCTGATCTATTTTTAGATCCTGACCTCAATGGTCTGATCTATTTTTAGATCCTGACCTCAATGGTCTGATCTATTTTTAGATCCCGGTCTCAATGGTCTGATCTATTTTTAGATCCAGCATCTATTTTTAGACCCTGGTGTAAACAGTTCAATCCAT